CCCCCCCCTCCCCCTTTTTGGGGGTTTTTTTTTTTTTTTTTTGTGGGTGGGGTTTTTTTTTGTTTGTTTGTTTTGGGGTTCGAGTGGGGTTTTTTGTTTATTTGGGGGTTTGGGTGAGATTTTTGGGTTTTTTTTGTGAGATTTTGGGGGGTTTGTTTGTCTGTTTGTTTGTTTCTTTCCCTTGGAGAGATCGTTTCCAGCCGATTCGGATTCCTTGGAATTTTTTTCTTTTTTTTTTTTTAAAAAAAGGTATCTCCTGGGGGGAAAAACAAAACAAAACAAAACAAAACCAAAACAAAAAAAACCCAAAACCACCTCTCTGCCTCCACGGAAGGGAAGGAAAATCGGAGATTTCCAAAGCGGTGTTCCCGACCAGGAAAAATTCCCCCCGGGAGAGCGGGACGGTGCCGGCGCCGGGCTGGGAGCCGGGATGCTCCGGGGAGCGGCGCTGCCTCCCCCGCCGCCCGGCGCTGTCCTGGGTGCGCGGTGCCCCCCGCCCCCCCGCTCCCTTTTCCCGTCGTTCTGGCCGTCATGATCCCGTTTGATCCCCGGGATTTTCCCCGTTCCCCGCCCGGGAAGCAGCGGCTGAAACGAAATCCCCTTCCCGCGGAGCTCGGGGGGAAAACCCCAGCGCCCTCCCCTCTCCTCCGGCCCTTCTGGGGCCAAATCCAGTCGAGGATGCCCGTGTCCGTCCCCCCCTCCCCCGGTGGGGACACCCCAAACCCGGGCTCTCTCCGCAGCCCACCCTGCGCCTGCGAGCGGGGCTGCGCGGGGATGAAGGCTCTCCTCCTCTTCGCCCCAAAATACGGGGTTTACGGGGTGCGAATGGCTTGCTCCCCCAAATCTCCCAGCCGGAGATGCTGGAGGACCGAGCTCCCGCGGTGGGATTTTTTTAGGGGAGGGGGGGATCGGGATAAAGGCCCCCCCCGCAGCCCATCACCTCCGGGGCTCCCAGCTCTCGCTTTTCTCCCCCTCTCCAGGAGGTTTGGTACCAAATGCGCCGGCTGCTCCCAAGGCATCTCCCCCAGCGACCTCGTCCGGAAAGCCCGGAATAAAGTCTTTCACCTGAACTGTTTCACCTGCATGGTCTGCAACAAGCAGCTCTCCACGGGCGAGGAACTCTATATCATAGACGAAAACAAATTTGTTTGCAAAGAGGATTATTTGAACTCTCCCAGTTTGAAGGAAAGCAGCCTCAACTCAGGTACGAGCGGCTCAGCCCGCCGCATCGCCCGGGGATGCGTCCCTGCCGCTCGTACGGGCAGGGGCCGGC